TACGCGAGTCTTCCAGCAGTCTTGTGACCGGGGCAGCCAATCTCTAAAGGAGTAGAGTTGGGGAGTTAACAATTCAGGTTAACAGGCTGGGAACTGGTCGTAAGGGGAACTTGTCGAGGGCATGAGTGATCGTAAGAGTTCGTAGGAGGGTGTGGATTGGTAGAGACGACAAATAATACTAGCGTAGGACTATCGTCGGGAGTAGTGGGCAAGAGCCTTCTAACTAGGTAGTGAAAAGCGCTACGCTAAGGCGTAGAGTTAACGAGTGCTAGAGAGTCGGCGGAGTACTTGTCGATACTAGATTCCTGAGAGTAGTGACTATGTTTCGTGGTTATAAATGGTCTGGGGAAGAAGGAAAAGGGAAGTGATCGGGCCAGCGGTTCTCTTAAATATCAGCGGTGGGCCGCTACGCTACGCTACGCTTTTGGCCCAAAAAGCGTAGCGTAGCGGCGCTTTTTTTCATCCAAAAGCGGTAGTGTTAGCGTTTTTGTAGCGGTTTTTCGCTACGCTACGCTGCGCTACAGCGCTTTTAGCGGAAAAAGCGGCCAAAAACCGCTAAAAAGCGCTGTAGCGCAGCGTAGTGGGCCCTTTTTTGCGGCCCACACGCGTAGCGTTAGCGGTGTCGTGGCGGAATCCCGCTACGCTACGCTAAAGTTGCGTGGAATTCCGCTACGTTACGCTGCGCTAACCACTACGGTTAGCGTAGCTGGCCCAGCGTTGTAAATATTATAGAACCTGCTGGCCGGTTTGTGGTCATCCTATTCCTTGGGGTTTAAGGAACAGGATGGAACTAGTAGATGCTCTTTCAACTGTTGGGGATAGGTACGCGTCGCGTCATGTTGATTCTTGAATTATTGCTGCGCCGCTTCTTTATTCATTATTCTTTTATTCATTCAAGCGTCCCGCGCTTTATTTCCTTTTTTATTTATTCTTCTTTAATTCTTATGAGGGGGTTAGGATTACTTAACCCCTGACAAGGGACTTTAAGATTTTAATCTCTCACTCACTCAGTATTGACAAAAACAGGTACAGCTCTATCCAGCTGATGAGGTCAAAGATTGATCCTCTTTGTTTTGTCAAGATTCTATGAGGGTATGTTATAAGTATATTACAACATGATTTATTGAAGACACACTGTTTTTGTCTGTTGAAGTTTGGGCAGGCATCACCAAGAATGTGATTTGAGTGTCTGTGCAGTTTGCTGCCCACTGCCCAGAAGTTAATCAAGCTATATTGTTGTGATGTTTGGTACATAGCAGAATGATTTAGATAAACAAAGAGTGGGCAATCTGAAGTGTAGAGTTGATCATCCTATGGAGTCTAATAAATACATATTTCCTAATTAAAAGTGGATCTTGAGCTCAGACTTTGATCATGATCAGAATGATACATATTGAAGATCATCGTCTCAAGTTTTTCAGATTCTATTTTATTTTTGTGGTGGGATATCTCCTGAACTTGACGGCATGGCTTGAATCTTCAATACTTGTCTATGAAGTGCCCCTGTAGAGTGAGTAGATGAAAACTTAGTATGGCGATATCTTTGGTATTTGTGATAGAAATTTTTTTGCGAATGATATTGTGTGGTGAGGGAGGACGGAGATGTGAAGCCTGAACTGTTGCGCCGGTAGCTTTTTTGCAGTTAAGAGTGATTGAGGGGGATTCGTGCTGTTTGAGATGAGCTGACTGATCACGAGGGTTGAGTTTCCTTCTGAGTTCGATTGACTCCTCTTTCCCGTCCGATTGCCCCATCATCAGTCTCCCTTCTGAGTTCTGATGAGTGTCAATGAGCTTGATCATGGTCAGATCATGTTGTGAGCTCCTCTTTCTTCTCCAGGCTGTTCGAGTCGAGTCTTGACTCTTGTTAGATATATTTAAAGCCCCCATGTTAAATTGGTTCTCTTTTGGTCGAGCACCAGACCGCCAAAAAGAAGCAGCTGGAGCTATCGTTTAAATATAAGCTGTGGAGGGGAAAGAGAAACAAGGTTGATAGTCCTACAACACCGACTTTTTTAATGTAGCTTATCGTGTCGCAGGCAATTCCTAGCTGAGATTGCGGTGTTCCGTCTGTTGGATCACTCTGCAGTGATAGTGTATTGTTAGTGGTCAGCTTCATTGATCATCATCAACTCAGCGGCAACACAACTAGACTTGAAGGGTACATGAAATGGGTGAGATCATACTGATTAATTATTCTTTCTCCACCGGACATTCGTCATACAGCTTACATACAGTCCTGCTCAACCATTCCGTCGGTCCTTCGCACTCCAACTGTCCTGACCAAGTTCAACCTCAACGCCTTCTCCTTCAATAATACATAACCATCCTGAACATCATGGACCAGTCCCAGTCATCCGCAAACCCCTCAACCAAGACACTCCGCACCCGAACCTCCTCCGTCCAACTCGTCCTCAACCATGTCACCCACACTCCGCCCGACCATCGCTTCGCTGCCAACAACTTCGACCACTCAACCAATCTCACTCCACCCAACAGCTCCCCAACCCAAACCAAATCTCAGGCAAAGAAATCTAAACCGATACCTCACTGGGAGCAAGTCAGTCAAGGCTTCTGGCATGACTTGAAAACGATGAGATGGATGCGCCACCCTGGTCAGTCATCAATCAATCAATCAATCAACTAATCATACCCAAAAACAAACAAACAAACAAACAAACTCATTCCTAACTAAATCATGTCTCGATATCCATAAGGCACCTCCTTTCGTATGATCCTCATCATCCTTCTTCCTTGGGCATTCCTCGAACAATTCAGGTTCCTGGGCTGGATCGACTCAAATCCATTAACCTCCTTCGTCTTGATCTCCTACCGTCTACCGCTCCAGGCCGACGAATCCTATCATCGCTACGGGAAAGGAACCAAGGACTTCCTCTTCCTCGCATTCTACATCATCGTCTTCTCATGTATTCGACAAACAGTCACCGAATATCTCATCAGGCCCTATGCTAGATACCTCGCCCTCAAAGGTACCAAACAGGACAGATTTGTCGATCAAGGCTATGCGGTCTTCTATTGGGGCTCAGCCACACTGATCGGAATGGTACGTCCCTCAGCTTGAAATATATATATATCAGCCTCGTCAAACCAAACCAACAAACCAAAAAATTGGTTCTTGTTCACAGCGTGTCATGGCCAGTCAGCCTACTTGGTGGTACAACACTGCAGAGTTTTGGTAAAGGTTATCTCTCACTGGAGAATGGAACCAACGACAAAAGTTTACTATCTGTTACAAATTCTCTTATTGGTTACAACAGATGCTCATTCGCTTCATTAGGATAGAGAAACCTCGGAGCGATTTCGTCGAACTTATCATCCATGTGGGTCGGAACAGCATTGATTGATTCATCAAGAACTCGTTCCCTCTGTAATAACTTAAAACCATATTAATTTCACTCACTTTAGCATTGGG